ACCCTAAGTTACAGAGTCTGATGAATTCGAACCTGATGATGATATGGGTGCTGAACCATAAATCATCAGGTGGTGTGGATGCTAGACCTTGAAAAGTCACTGGTGTGGATGCTAGACCTTGGAAAGTCACTGGAAGTCAGCAAGAACGTTGGCATGGCTGACAAGGATGAGGATGCCTCAAAACATTGGCGAAGGTACAGGGACTGCCAGGCGAGTAGTCAAAGATGACGCTTTGACTTCCCTCTTCAGCTGTTTGATACGATTATTAATGTACATTCCCCTAGGCCTGGCGAGCTCATACTGTTGCATGGATGGGTTGGGGAATATCAGAGAATGCGTTTTAGCAGCATGCAGTTGCTCACAGCAGAGTTTTACTACTGCTTCTGCTACATTGTGCCCGTTGCAAATATGCAACACAGTTTGGTCCGACACATCGGCAGAGCAGAAGAGTCAAGCCAAACTTAGTTACCTACTTTCCTTTCCGTTCAATGGACCGCAAACTTGCACAATCTGCGAATTGCTAGGATTGAACTAGCGACCTCTAGATCTTCAGTCTAGCGCTCTCCCAACTGAGCTAAATCCGCACGGTCTTCGATCGAGCAGCTCATACATGTGCTGTAAGATATGAGACCATCACATTGCGTGATGTGAGAGGTAACGGGCCCTGATTTGTAGCATCGCATCAGCTCCTGCAAGCCGCTTGCTTGCTTGGATACTATATGTACACATGTCAACTACCCTTCCTTGGCGACGATGCAAGATAGAGCAGCGTGCGACTGACTTACCGGAGGATGGAGATATTATTGATCCTGGGGGAGAGGGGGGACGAATGCCTGGATTTCCAGAAGCAGGGATGGAAGGTGTGGGCCTGCCTGTAGCAGTTTCGTGCATGGCAAGGCGAGATGATAGCATTAGCTGGAAGGCAAACAGCAGGTGACAAGGTATGATCCAGTTAGGCTGGATGGATTGGTGCTGCTGGAAGGATTGGCTCTGCTCCAGACATGCACAGCAAATGTGCTAAGGCTGCAGCATCGTGTCCCTGCTGGAAGGTTCAAGGATGGATCCTGACAAAGAGCAGGAGAATATAATTCCTATACCAATTAATTCCAGCGCTGATGCACCCCCAAATGATGATGCACAGTGATGGATTCGAATACAGTGACCAATGTTCCATTATGATAGAGTATGTATGTTGTTACAGGGTGGTTAACTTCGCCAGCGGCCCCCTTTCCCGGGGCAGTCCCTGCTCTCCCCTGCTAGAGGGGCACCCTAATCCGTCACCCCATCCGACTTCGGAATGTATTCGTTGGGTTCGACAACTCACCACCAGCATCCAACCAAATCTAGCGGATCAACGGCGCATCAACTTAGTTCCTGGTCAGCTCGCAAGTTGATATTATCACGTCCTACACCGTCCATATGATGGGGGGCCACCTCCCATTTCATCACTCCTCAAACGGGGATCCTCAG